CGACTACGCAATAGGTTTAAAGACGCGTTGCTATATAGATGGACTCAGCTTGCAGACATTGAAGCACGCATTCCACAACCAAGTCAAATGGGATCGAGTCAAATTGAGCGAAATTCAGGGGAAACGACGTACTCACCGGGTTCCGATTGAAACCTCCAGCTCTTTGGAGGGAACTGATGGCACTGTACGGTGAACCATCCGTGAGACAATCTAGATGTCCGAAAATCAGAGTAACAAGATTGTAAGTAGACAACTGAAGGAGAGGCAAAATGATTTCCAGGGATACATCCCTTATGCATGCGCGTGTGATGCGGAGATCACCGTGCGGTCATAGACCTCGCAACCTCGATCTAGAATTTCCACCCGAAAAATCTCGTTTTGATTCTTGTTGGTAGTTGTGACACGAAATTTGGGCTTCTTTGTCAATAAAGACTCAGTCCTCCTTGATGCCGTATTCAGCCGTGCCCATGGTAATAGTTGCATCCTCCCTTGTTAGTACGGTGTACGACAATTTTAAGATTCGAAATACAGAGCCCAATCCTTGCTCTCCTTCATGCGACAAAGTATTTTGCTGTCTTCTTTGCGGTCACGTATGCGAGGGCGCGCACTTTGGTTGGATCGGAAGCTGCCATTAAATTTTTAGGTAAGGCATCCTGGCTGTTAAAATGAACACTAGTAGGCTTAGTTTAACAGAGACCATTGTTTATAAATGCAAACTATAAATACTACTTAATTAAATAAAGTAACAAACATTATTGAAATTAAATCTTAAATGCAAAATGCGGGCAGCCAGAAAACAGACGAACTGGAGCGGAGCCGAGCCACCGATGTCGTGAAATGGCGATATTACTAAGAGGACAGGGGGTTATTCGGTGCTAACGACGCTTCATCGCATGGGTATGGGCTCGTCATGCTGACATTTCTGTGAATCGAAAGGTGCGCTACAAGAGAAATATGGGCCTGGAAAATGTGTTGGCAGAGGAGATAGGGTAGGCAACGTACCCCATGAAATTTTGGACGGAATTCTAAAGTATGCTCCCATTTGGAAGGGATTACTCAAATGCGGTTGCAACACCGACCATCGTGCAGCATAATCTTAAGACATTTCAGTCACAACAGGATGTCAGCTTTTGAACATGCTTCTTTCCAGTCGTCCACAAAAGCTATACTCAGTAAAAAATGACTACTTTAGCAGTATGGACCTTCCACATTGATCCTCGATATCCATATAAATTCAAATATATTTTGTAGAGAACGTGTACAAAACTATACTTTCTTATACTTATTGGATAACAAATGACGTCTTCTATAAATTTTATACTTGGAGAAAAAGTATCTTTCGGTTTCTAAAAAGTATATAATTATGAGTTTTTAAGACCCTGAAATGTCGAATCATTCAGCATCGTATCAGTACGTTTATTGATGCCGTTTATAAAATAGATAACACAGTGCAATCCATTACGAAATTTCATGAGTCCTATGTGATGTCCTCTTACTAGCGTATAAAAATGTATGATTTTTGCTACAATTACAGCAAACAGCTTGTAGCGTGGAAATCCTGAAAAAAAGATTAACGGCAAGTAAGGTTCAAAATTGTTTTGGAATTCACGTTTTTTTCATCAAGTTTCAAACTTAAAGAAAACGTCATTTGTTATCAAATGAGTACAAGAAAGGATAGTTTTGTCCATTTTCTCTACAATATATATATATATTTAAATTTACGAGGACATCGAAAAACAGCGTCACGGGCTGAAAAAAACCGTTCAAAATGAAAAATTTTGCTTATGTTTTCTATAAACTATATTTGACATTATATGGGCATCACACCCGGTAAGCAACTCTAGGCGTTTCTTGCCGTGGAAGTGGGTCCTACGGCTTCATGATCTGCTGCATCCTCGGTTAATATATATGGAGTAAACGATAGAAGCCCTGAACACTCCGACTAAACGACACAGGTCTGCATGAAAGTAGTTAAATTGCAAAAACTGTACATGTTACTTTAGCGTGCAAAACGCATACAACTAATGGTGACGCACAAATGTGCAAAAGATGTGGCATTTGAGAACTAACGGCGAAAAACGCACTCACTGCATTCGCACTGTGAAATGTTCACGTGGGCCAGGTTTAGTGCTTACAAACCCATCTGTTGACATCATGTTAGCACTATGCTGATAGGCATTTCAGTAATCCACTCGATTGGGCTTCGGCCGTTTGAGTTGCTTTTTAACAGGTGATTATCCAGATGTCCCTTGAACACACTCACGGGCAGCCAGAAAACAGACGAACTGGAGCGGAGCCGAGCCACCGACGTCGTGAATTGGCGATGTTACTAAGAGGACAGGGGTTATTCGGTGCTAACGACGCTTCATCGCATGGGTATGGGCTCGTCATGCTGACATTTCTGTGAATCGAAAGGTGCGCTGCAAGAGAAATATGAGCCTGGAAAATGTGTTGGCAGAGGAGATAGGGTAGGCAACGTACCCCATGAAATTTTGGACGGAATTCTAAAGTATGCTTCCATTTGGAGGGATTATAATATCGACTATCGCGCAGCATAATCTAAAGACGTCTCAGTCATGGCAGGATGTCAGCTTTTGAACGCGCTTCTTTCCAGTCGTCCACAAAAGCTATACTCAGTAAAAAATGACTACTTTAGCAGTACGGACCTTCCACATTGATCCTCGATGCCCATCTAAACTCAAATATATTTTGTACAGAACATGGACTGGGAAACGATTTTTGAAATGGCACCAAAATCTAATCTCTGACGAAACGATTGTCGGCCTAAAAAGGAACTGTGCTACACCAATCAATATTCCTCCTTTTCGTCGCCTACAGTCCTCCGCCGATGGAATTCATTGCCGGTGCTAGCGACGCTTCATCGCATGGGAATGGGCGCATCATGCTGACACTTCTGTGGATCGAAAGGTGCGCCGCAAGATCAATATGGGCCTTGAAAGTGTGTTGGCAGAGGAGATAGGGTAGGCAGCGTACCCCATGAAATTCTGGACGGAATTCTAGAGCATGCTCTCAGTTGGAAGAAATTACTCAAATGCGGTTATAATATCGACTATCGCGCAGCATAATCTAAAGACGTTTCAGTCATGGCAGGATGTCAGCTTTTGAACGCGCTTCTTTCCAGTGGTCCACAAAATCTCTACTCAGTAAAAGATAATTACTTTAGCAGTATAAACCTTTCACATTGATCCTCGATGCCCATCTAAACTCAAATATATTTTGTACAGAACACGGACTGGGAAACGATTTCTGAAATGGCACCAAAATCTAATCTCTGACGAAACGATTGTCGGCCTAAAGAGGAACTGTGCTACACCAATCAATATTTCTCCTTTTCCTCGCCTACAGTCCTTCGCCGATGGAATTCATTGCCGACGCATGTTGTGAATTCCTCTACCGTGAGTATGTTCAGGAGACATCTGGATAATCACCTGTTAAAGGGAAACCCGAACTGCCGAAGCCCGATCTAGCGCATTACTTAAATGCCTATCAACATACTACTAACATGATGTCAACAGATCGGTTCGTGGGCACTAAACTTGGCCCATATGAAAATGTCACAGTGCGAATGCAGTGAGCGCGTTTTTCGCCGTTATTTCACAAATGCCATACCTTTTTCGCATTTTTGTTCCACGATTATATTTATGCGTTCTATACACTAAAATCGCATGCAGAATCTTTGCATACTGCCTAAATGGAGTTTCCAGGTCTTATGTCGTTTACTCCAAATATACTGACTGAACCCCATCCCTGGGGGGTATGAGGCGGCTAACAGATTCCGAGACGTTCTTCGCGTACGGAAACTATAGGATTATGTTCACCCATTCGACTATGTGCCGCAAGTTCATCTTCTGAACAACATTCACGGGCGTTAATTGATGCCAGAATATAAACGTTTGCGAATTCTTTTAAAAATGTGATAGCCGACCGCGCAGTACCTCCTCTGATAGGCTCAGTGAGCGTATTCAAACACGACTTACCCGCTCTTGACGTAGTATAACAGACGGTGGCACGGATAAGTCCTCCGCGTCCTGCAGGCAAAAACAACAGAGTCGACACAGCCGATCCTCGTATGTAACCGATTCCAAACTGAAGTACACGACCCTGCCTAGAAGCAGCGTCTGCCGTCTAGGGACATACATGCCATACTCCCCTCAGAGCTTTGGTAGTTGAGGGCAGGAAGCAACGACGGACTAGATACCAAACGGCTGGTTCAAGTCTACCGAATGAGGCGGAAATCACTGCGTAGGGAAAACCCCACTGCCTATCCCCAGGCAATCTAGTCGAATGATCAAGTCAGTTACCGGAGTGTGACCGTCGCGTGGAGAGCTGAGTGTCAGATGCAGTGTGAGCGAAACAGCCTTTTAAGAGCCTCAAAATCTCAATTTGGACACATCGCGTGCCCCTACTATCACGTTAATAGATGATTGACAAGCGAAATCTGAGACCTCCGTCCTCCCCGAAACGCCCATGTTGAATACAGTCAAACCGGAATCCAATAATGAATTGACTAGGTTATCTTCGATCTGGCAAAGTCAAACAGTTCAGGTAACGGTACTCATTATTGAAGACAAAAATAACATTTAGGTCAGGGTGTAGCAGACTCAAAAACAAGGGTCAAGCAAGCAGGTATGACAAAAACAAACATCAAGAACATGATTGAACCAGGAGCTGTGAAATAGTTGGCAGGACTCCTGTCACCAAAAGCGAATAGGATCTGGAAATAGAAGCACACAGAGGTGGGGGGGGGGGGGAGGGGTGGGTGGAGGTAGGGTTAAATTGTACTGCCATCGACGCCGGGCAGGAGACAGAGATTATAGTGGACATCAGGCTTCCAGAAGGTCTCATCTTTCCAGCCCACCCACCCCTTGTCCAGAACGGTGCGCAGGTTACCCGCAGGGCCGGTGTAGTGCGGATCTAGGATGAGGTAGCGTGTTTTTGGCTTGGGTGCAGAGACGGTGGAGGAGTAATCCACTGCAGGCAGGTGTACACCCACGATGGTGTGAGCCAGTTGGCCCCCACCAACCATCACGGGTCCGCCGCCAGAGGCGAAGTGTTCTGCCAGCTGGGAGGCCGCTGTAGCCGTAAATTCGGCGCCGCGGGCGACGGGGATCAAGCGACATTGAACGCCATACAGCTCCTGTAGACAAAAGCTCACCTAGGGGTGCAAATAAGCAAAAAATCAGCAAATTATTATTATCGAAGGGGACACCGGGACTCACATAAGGGGTGAAAATTGTGATGTCTACATTAGTAAAAAAAAAGGGTCAGGCCTGAGTCCAGGCTGGGTTGCACATGCTTAGGAGACAGCCTAGGGTGACCCTTACCGGCAACGGCATTTATCCGACGTGCTCCTTTTTAAAAGTGAACAAACATTACTACTGCATATTAGTTAGTAACAAACTCTAAAATAACAAATTAGTGGGGAGGCTGATGGGAGATGGTGACGACCACTGCTAACTTACATGCGTTGAAGCTCCAGGTTACATTTCTCCCAGGCAGTCTAACAGTAACCAATAATCAGCAAGGTGGAAGGAATGCCGACAAACACAAGAGTATCGCTTATCGCAACGTAATAGTCTGCGAGTAAAATGACCAAGAGCCCCAAAGCAAAACGAAACAAGTACGCTCCGTCCCACAGCCAGGTGAATGAAGTGTTACTCCCCACTGCCTTAACAGTACGTTTACCCGAATCTGGAAAACACCCAGCTAGGAGAATCATCTGGCGCGGAGACATCAAACAGAGGCGTGCAGAATATGAGAGATTGCTCGTTCTGCGGACGAACAGTGGCTGACTGACCCACCAGAGAGCAAGCTAAATCGTAACCGGTCCTCCCTTTAACACATAAACGACGATGAGTGCACAAATAGTCTTCCTGGAAAAGAAATTTCAGGGAGAGGAGTCAACGAGGTAAGAAAAATGGCATCTCCATAAAGTCAAAAGTGGCTAATTTAGAATTCCCTGCCTCCAGTTCTATATGTAGGCAAATATGGAGGCAAGTTCGGTAGGCATAAGCAGTCGGACTGATTCGGACTTGACGTTGGTATGAGAAAGGGGGGGGGGGATTGAGTTCGATTAGGCCCGGATATGATGTTTAGTTTCCCGGCATAAAAGGAGAATGTACTCCTAACCTACCCCGACGCGACAACAGTCGTGGCTCGGAAAGTCGCCAGTTGACTTGGTTCTATTCCGGACTGAGGGTCAGAATGCAAGAGCGCCTTCTCAATGTGGGTTTTATGGCACCCTCACCTGCGGGAGATGTCGGACTGACGCACTAGAAGGGTAGGGGGGGGGGGCAGCACATGTACGACATGCGTCGACGTGACCTCAGCTTCGCCGGCCACTGGGTTCACACGGTCGCTGTGAATTCGCTTTTCTCCGCGAAACCGGTCGGTGGCGGGAGAGGGAGTGCAGTAGATACGGCACAAGTCAGTCGATGCTGCGCCCACATCGCCGGGCACACGCTTCCTTTTAAATGACCGACAACACTGAGTCAGACGCCACGGTCTCTTCGCCAGCACAATTCCTGGAGAAACTCAAAGGGGTAAGCCTCCATCCAAATGAGGTCATGGCATCTTTTGATGTTACATCCCTTTCTACTTCTACTCCCAAGGACCTGGCGATCGAGCTGCTTCTACAAAGCAAATACGATGAAACGGAGAATCGTCTTGGACACGCCCAACTCCTTCAGCTCCTAAAGTTCTGTCTCAGGACGTACTTCACGTTCGACGGGACAATCTACGAACAGGTGAAGGGCACACCGATGGGTTCGCTGATTTCGGGATTCATCGCCGAGGTGGTCCTGCAACGATTAGAGTCACTGGTCTTCCAACACCATAAACCGAAGTTCTGGGCCCGGTATGTGGATGATACTTTCGTCGTTATCGACCAGGATCAACTGCTGACATTCAAGGAACATCTGAATGCGGTCTTCCCGGACATACGATTTACGATGGAGGAGGAAGAGAACAACCAGCCGGCCTTCCTGGATGTCCTCGTATGCCGCAAAGATTGTGGTGGACTAAAGACCAAAGCGTTTAGGAAAGCGACAAATACGATGCAAGTACTGAACTTCAACAGCAACCACCCAATCAGCCACAGACGCAGCTGTGTAAGGACGCTCTATCGGCGTGTCGAAACACACTGCACTGAGCCGGAAGACAAGACTGCTGAACTACAATACCTCCGACGGGTCTTGAAAGCCAATGGCTACCCGCGCAACTTCGCCAACCGGTCCATACACAAAAGGGACGAAAGGCCTAACCGCACGGACACCAAATTTTGGCGAACGCTTCCATATGTCAAGAATGTTTCGGAAGCGGTCGACAGCCCTCTCGAACCATTTGGGGTTGGAGCTGCACACAGACCGGAGGCAACCATCAGGCGTCAGTTAATGAAACCGAAAGACCCACTGCCACGGCTAGAAACGTCTGGAGTCGTTTATCGGACCTGGTGCAGTTGCGGACAAAGCAACTACGTCGGAGAAACCGGAAGACAACTACAAACGCGAATGGCCGAACACGCGGCAGCGGTGCGGAGAAATGACGCTAGCTCTCAAGTTGCGGCTCATTCGACGAGATCCGGCCACACATTCAAATTTGACAAGGCCGGAATTCTCGCAAGAGGTGAAAACCGCGTGAGCCGGGAGCTGCTTGAGTCATGGTTCACTGGCCCCCAGTCCATTAACAAGTGCAATGATCTCCCCTTTCTATACTCGGTGCTGAGACTTCGCCTAGGCGGAGTAATTGGCCACGCGGGGAGCGCACAGGGGAACACTTTTCCCAACACCAGGGTCGGTGCGTCAGATGGTCGAGCAATCATCACACTAACGTCCAGCGCATGTGATGAAATTGCAGCAATTAACGACGCGAATGTCGGCCATCACACCACGTGCAAATGTGGTGGGTGTTGACAGATGGAAAACATCTTTTAATTGACGCCAGATAAATTGCGTAGCAAGTAATGTCTACACAGCCGGCTGATTTTATTCGGAAATTGAGTGGGAAAACAACGGGTTCATAGGCTAGAGCATGCAGTCCGACTAATGCAAAAAGGTCACTTAAAGACGCGGTGAACCAAGGATGGAGTGCGCAAATTAAAGGACTAGAGATTACGAGGGCAAAGTCAGCTTTACCTTGAGAAGGACTTACGATTCAGCTCAGCTAATATTTGAAAGTCCTGGGATGACTACTTGGATTAAAAGAACAAAAAGGGTGCCTTGCCTATGCAAGTTGCCCCAAATTGTCATTAGTAATTCACCCATACTTGCGGATACAAGATGGTCAGTAACCAATTTCATTAAATTTGAACCAAAATTCTAAAATGAGTTTTCGATTAGGACGAATTACTTAACTGGAGTTGCAATGGTGATTGTCGTGCGGGATAATCTCATGGCATTTAAGATGTGGCTGGATGTTGACTTTTGATCCTTTTAAACTGTCTGGAAAAACTGCCTGGCAACAATTCGTCGCCGTCTGATGCAACCCAAAGACATACTGCCACCCACTGAAATCTCAGCAGTTGTCTATCAAATACGTTGTAACGATGGAGACTGCAGCTACGTTGGGGAAACCGGACGGAAATTACAGACCCGTCTACAGGAACACAAACGGGCAACTCGGAGACTAGAACCAAACTCACAGCTTGCGGCTCACATCGGGGAAACTGGTCACAGTTTTGATTTTCAAGGAGCAGCCGTCTTAGGCAGGGGCATTTCAAGGACAGAGCGTCTCACACTCGAGGCTTGGCACTCAGATGCCAACTCCATCAACAGGCATCTAAACCTTCCTGCGGCCTATAAAGTCCTACGTCACCACATACGCCATGACCAGAACAAGATGGTCATACGGAGCCTAAGACTACCAAGCAAACACGGCCCCTCGACCAATTCACCCAAAAGGGGGGCGCAAACGCAACTAACCCCAATTGAGGTGACGACACACAATACAGGAGGTCACCAACACTCACAAGCGACGGCCAGTAGGCCAAGGCAGCGAAAGAATAAAAAAAAATCGATCAGCCCAAGGCCAACTAGTCTGGCTGTCCATTCAAAATTCTGATCGATTTTTTTCACTAGACGCTTTGATAATGGAGAGCCGCCCCAGCTCTTCGAAACGTCAGCCAAACAAGTCCCTCGATCCGGTGAGCACTTCGTTTTCCCAAGATTATAAACCCGAATCTCTTACTTGTGATAACCTGAGCTCAAAAAATGACTACTTACGTAGTATGGGCTTTTCCCAAAAATCAATAGAAAAAAACGAATGTTACTTAAGTAGCCATTTTTTGAAGGATGCGGCCCTTGGCGACAGCCGAGGGGAACTACAGTAAAAAGCCAAGATCCAGGCGTGTCTGAAATCTTATGAGATTCTGTCGAGTTATAATCAATATTGTAACCTCACTTAGATAACCTTTCCCTGTCAAAAGCACACTTCAGAATTCCGATTAACATTACGTGAGATCAATCAGTGACTGTACGTCGGGCGAACGCAAAGGCAACTGGCAGCTAGGCCACTTGAACACTTGCCTAGATGTCTTTTAAAGACAAAAACATAAAGTTGTCGTTCCTATGTCACTAACCGCCTCCTCTGGATGGTGGGCGCTCTGTCGACCCAAGAAAAGCCTTTTGAGTTCGTGAACATGCATGAACAATGTATAGCTCAGAAGCACAACCGGAAGAGTGGGCTCCGTAACACGATCATCGGTGGGCGCCCCTCTACCATTGTATATGCCCAGTCGCAATCCACAGGACAACGAACCCGTGGCTCAGTGGTTAGAGGAGGTGGACTTCTAACCAACAGGTCGCAGGATCGAGCCCCAGGTGTTCCACACTTCGTGGTTGGGTATGACTGGCTGACGACGGCCAATAAGCCGGAAATGGCCATTCCACTCTGCCTTGTCTTTGTCAGTAATGTTACTCTAACTCAGAAGCAGCCTACATCCGGAGGAAAAGATCTGAACTGCTCAAGCAACTAGACCATGCGGCAAAGTCGACTGGTAACTCTCAGTCCATTGGTTTACAAGTTTACATTCCAGGTTATCGTGCCATTTTTCCTTTTCTAACGTCCGTAGGGAACCTTTTTCATCGATTGGACTGTTTCTAGCTATGACCTTTCTGTTTTTATATTGATTTTTTGAATAAATTACACTAGCTGCGAAGAATTACTCCTTATTCATGTCCTGAGGCAACAGAAAGCAGTTGCTAAGCATCCACTTTTTTGCTACCGATAGATCTGTGACGGCCAGTCATCATAACCGGTCTGGTGTCATTGTTCAAGACCTCACTGCCTCAAGGTCATTCACCCCCTGCAGCGAGCCGTCTCAGACGAGCTGGCCTGAAGTCCCTCGACCGACTTCAGCTCGGACACAATTGCGTCCACACAGCGTCGCGACTACCCATGCGCCACTTGAACGCGTCACCCCCCTGCAACCAGCAAAACAAGCCCCTGGGACACCGCCCCTCAGCAAATGCAACGCCCACTGACTGGACACCACTTGAGCTTGGCCCACGAGCCTACAAAAGCGGCTGCCACCAATATCTCAGAGACTCTCAGGCATGACTGGACGCAGTCAACACCAGCCCTGGCTTCGCTAGCGGCCACCGCCGCCTGAGAGGACAACTGTGGGTTCTGTACACAAAAAACCCCTCATTCTGGTGCCATTTGTCTTCTCCCTTAGAACTTGGAATTTGGCCTGACGATAGTAGCGCTCTGACATACATACTCGCACCGCCTGGTCACGACAGATCCTTCTGTTACGCTTGCTTTAAACTCCTGTGGGACAGAAAATTCTTCAAACCTTCCAGCTGGACAGGAACAAGCTGATGATTGTCAGTCAATAGTTGCCAAAACGAGTACTATGCATCCAAAAGGTTGCTCCGATGACAAGACAACGTCAGGACGACCGATGGACTCGGAAGCAATAGCGTCAGCTACGCGTGCCACACACAACCCGATCTCCACTCCATGCACCGGGGCTTTATGAGGACGTTTCGGAGCTCACGTAGATGAGAATACTGTAAGCGCACAATATAAGGGACCATTGCAGCTTGATTCTTAGCCCTCAGGAGGACTGATGCAAACGCGTCAGATTTACTATAGCCTGGCATGCGTCGGTGTGTCGCGATGACGAATTCCATAGCGTCGGCTTCACTCTCTATTCTCTCTCTCTCCCACGCACCCGTCGGTTGTCAGAGCCTGCCAACCATCTGGTGATGGGATTGCGCGGAGTGGCTGGTGCGGTGTAAAGACCACCGCCTAAGGCGTTCAGTAGTCATGGACAGGCGCGAACCCGGCGCAGCCAGAAAAACTCGTGCCGCGAGCCAATCTGATGTCTTTTTGGCCCAGCACGTCCGCTGTGCAGCCCGTTGTAGAGGCCGCAAGCGGCAATCAATAAGTGCGCAATAACACGTTTGATCCGGACTCGAACCTCAGATGGCAGCTAGTAGTCCGGAGATAGCCATTCTTGAGTCCCCTAGCTTTTGTTCGGCTAGAATTCTGAGTTAAAATTATTCCCAAAACTGCGAAAATGGTGAGGACTGCGGAGGGTATGATTAAGGCAGCAAGGCAGACGGGTATCAGATCAAATGAAAACTGAATTTAAGACAGCGTCGCCACTGAGATTGAAAGTACTCGGCCCAATTCTCGGTAACGGAAGGCGGGCTGCAGAGGGAATATTAATGCGAAAATAAGGGAGAGTGGGACCCAGAATAGCAGCTCTTGGCGTAACAATTTAGGGCCAGAAGGTGTAGGTTAACGTTCCGGCATTCGAGAGCCAGTGAGACGGAAGTGAGCACACAGTGATGGACGAAAGGGGAAGTGCCATGAAGATAGAAATATAGAAGAACAGGGGAATACGGGGTGAGCACCTACCTCAAGAGAACCAATCCACTGACGAGAGCCCACAAACGCAGCCGGCTTGTCTCCCACGCGCACCAGTGACTCCTGTATGGCGCGTAGAGAGGGCAGTTCACGGACGGGCGTTACAATTCCCTGCCAGAGGAGCCAGGACGCCAGGGTCTGAAGGGAGCGGTAGGCACAACCCCAGTTCTTGTCGTTTTCGCCGTCCTAGTCGCGTTCCACCGAGAGGGAATAAAAGGTAGGCAGATAGGGAAGGCTGAAGCAGGTTTACTTGCGCATGATGCGACCTGTTCTACGATTGTTCAAAGTATACACTTACAAGAGAAGCGAAGCCTGCCACGCAAGCAGAGGGGTAGTAATCAAAGCAAATCAATACAGACGCATCAGTCACCACTGGTCAGCTGCGTACAACACAATGATCGTCCAGATATGGCGAGCCGCAAGAAAGATGGGAATGTCGAAAAGTCGGCAGTACAACTAGCAATCAGGTCAAATCGCAGAACGCCAGCTCCACAGGAGTGTGAGTAGTACCGATGGCGCTTACGACGACGGCCACACGACGCGTTCACAGCTGGTGGAGAGTTGAACAGCATTCAGCGATGGTTAGTTGCGAACTAAACAGACTCTCGAGTCTGGCAAACACGCACTCGCAGACCAGCGGCGACAAGGGTTCCAGAGCACGCAGACTGATTCCATCACGCACTAATGATGGCAGTGTAACATGCCCACCGTGAAGCGCCATAAAATAAATGTGCTTGCAACAAGTGCCTTGCCAATGCGCCAGAAGAGACAACCTCGAACGAACCAGTCGGTGGGATCCGTCCTCACTGAGAATTTCCCAGAAACCTTATGGACGAAGCTGACTAGATCGGAATTGATCGCAGATGCGCCGAGTACATGCAAGTAAGCGTGATCGGCAAACTCAAACGCCAAGTTGACATGTGCTCAAGTTGCTAACAGAAGCAAAGAGACGTGTTCCGGAAAGTAGTAGTAGCGAGGAATGAGACACGATCGTTGGAACAAGAGCTTCATTAGGCCCTGACATTTCGGATTCGAAAGAGAATCCAAAACGTCACGCTAATAAAGCTCTTGTTCTAGCGATAGTGTCTCCGTATTCGCGACGTGTTCAAGTGCAGGCATCCCCGACATTGGGCTGACGCATGCACTTTTTAGAATGACTAATAAACCAGAAAGCACTATAGCACCTTTCATGGCTCACTCTTTTTTTATAGTTTAGAGGTCAAACACACCGTTTGTCGGGCTCGGCAAGGACCAGCGCTGTTCCCCCAGGAGCAGTGGCGATTTGGACAGAATCTGCCTCACGATATCATGCCACATCCGTCAGGTTAGTGACTAAGTCAAGGAGACTTGAGCATAAGTGCGACACACAGGCACTGGCATCTCAAACCAACCGGAACAGTGAATAGGAGCTGACATCGGCGAAAACCGCCCTAAGGCAATACTGGTAGAAAGTCATTTCAACTTGGCTTTCTAGCAAGAGGAGCGAGTTATTTTTCCAGCTGGTAATGTTTCAAACAATGATTTTGGCGCTCAGGGAAGAGTAATACAGGATTGGGCCCAAATATATCAGGGAGGGGGAGAGAGAGACTCCTTGTCTGTCGGCCTAAGACAGAGAGGGTAAATGAGTCAATAATCCATTGAATTCATGCGCGCACCTGCCTTCATCGTACAGTCTCAACTGATGGTTATTGGCGCAGCTGCGGTCTAGCCAGCCTCGATGATATCGGGAACTGTGCCTCTCCACGCCTGATGATATGCGGCAGTGAATTTAGAGAGCCTGAGCTATTCTCCCCTGCCCTCCAGCGATGGAGACGAAGTACCGAGGGCACAAGAACCCCTTCCACGTTTGGGCGAACTGTGTTGAGTCAGGTTTTGAACTGACCTCCTCTTCGACGCATCCAGATGGGCAACGGCGCCGAATCAAGGGCAGCAACGCTAAACTCGTGAGGCGAATGACGAAAAAAGTGCGCAAACCACCCCGGTCGTCTTTCCTGAATAGCTTGAGGTATCCTCGTGATTTTGTCGCAGTGAGTGCGGACTGTCTTATGTGGGATCAGGCCAGTGTACTTCACCCGAAGGGTGTTTATCAGGCAGCGGTGATCAAACGCTTTCGCCCATCCTGCATGCGCACAGGGCGAATGCCGGTACACGTGGATCTTGTTGCTGATTCAGATATCGCGACGGGTTCATAGAGACTCCATAAGGAGCGTGAAAACCCAGCGAGCAGCATCGATCCGGAGACAATGCCGTCATCATTCCGTCTATTCGGCGGCGGTGGATACTTCAAACCATCTACTTTTTCAAATTGACAGTCATTAATCCTGATGCGTGCCTTTTTCTGGTCTCCCCGGCAGAGCGGCAGGCCACAAATAAGTTTCTACTCAAACTGGACAAATGAAAACCGCTGTTATCAGGGTCAGCGGAGTAATCAGTCCTGAGTATGCAATACGAATGTGGCGAAGAGGATCTTGACCATGGGCACTTATTTACCCGCTGATCATCAAAAAGACTCCACTAGAGTACGATAAAGTGGGCTCCAGAGCTTCAAAACAATGAATGAATCTGATTTGACCAGAGGAGGACTGGTTGACTCTTACTACCGACCCTAACGACATCCTGGTTTTCTTCCCGACCTCTCTTCGCATCTGTATAAGCTATCATAGTTGCTGCACCAGTCGGCTTCATGCTACGGATTCGCCGCACTACCAAAAAACACTTGGCCAGGATTTTGACCAAGAATAACAATGGGGGTGGGCGGCAGGGATCCCGATTGTCACGACTTGAGCCGGCAACTGGGCCTGCCATTGCACCCTGACAGTTGGAACTTGTTACGGATGTGCATTCCCGACAACGTCTGAAGGAATCTGATATAGTCCTGTGTCGGTCCGTTTTTGGGAATTAATTAAGCTGCCTGGAGCCAAAGCTGACAGGTGAGGTCAGAGTGGAATGGCCAACTTCTGCAGCCAGAGACTTGGTGTGACTCGAAATTCATCAAAGTCACTACCTTCCCTGAGTACCCCATAAACTCCTCCAGTCTACGACGAAGATAGCGTGGCTAATTAGCAACGGTAATAAAAAGAGGGGAGATGGACGACTGAAGGAAGTGAAGGGAAGGGAAATTTGCCAACCTGGAGGTAGTGCTTGTAGGTATACCGACCACGGACGACCTCACAAGTGCCGTCGCTGCCAGGCAGGGCGAGATGAGTGTGTGGACAGACCAGGTCGGTAGAACTGGGTCCCAGAAAGCGTTGGAAACTACGCGGAGGAAAGAGGGCCATTCCGCGACGCAAAAGCGGTCTCAAGGGCAGCTGAAGTCCTGTGTGAGGAGGAGCGAGGTGGAAGAATGCGTCGGAAGGAAAAAAAGGGAAAGGTGTAAAGGCGGCTGGACTGACAGGGCGTCTAGGAAAGGCAGTTTTCACGTTGAGATAAACAAAGGTTGTAGGGTCTACAACAATCACAACAGGGGTCTGAAGTCGGTGTTCCATGCTGTGACAATTTCTGCGAATTGAGGGTCGTATCCCTAAAGGAAGGAGGCTTTCAGGGGCAGAATTGGATTATCAATTCGCCGTTATTTTCCCCCGGAGTTTGTAAAGGCGGCCTGGGACTCTACAATTACGCCTGTAAATCGACGCTCACGCGCGGTGTCAAACAGTGCTAAGGTTAAAACTGCCACCGACTTCTTATGAATTAGCGTCACATCCATGCGGTCGGTGAGTCCGTCTGTTCTGTATTTACGCGAATTTACATGAGCATTTAACGACATGTACGATGGACTCTGGAGTCGAGTAAACCAGTATTAGTGCAAACCGAGGCAACTGCGACGAGCCCAACGATAAGTAAGCTCCTCAAACAGAGTTCCTCATTGTGCTGTTAGACGTAATTTCCAGGAATAAACAAGAGACAACATTAGGCTACCATGAGCTGTTACAGAGCAGAGTCGACCGATTAGACTTGAGTTTAGAGGACGTGGGGCGTACAGTAGGTGGGCTAACGAATGAAATGTCAACCGAAATTCTGAAGTGCGTTTTCGTTTCGAAAAGACTAATTAAGTAGGGTTGCAGTGTAATTCTATAATATTTCAGTTACCTCAGGATGCCGGCTTTCGTATGAACTTCCTTCCGACTGCATGGGAAAAATGCGCCCTGTAAAAAATGACGACTTAAGTAGCATGAATTTTCTCATCGATTTTCGATGCCCCTTAAGGTCCAATTATATTTAATGGAAAACATGTACAAAATTACTCACTCTTCTGCTCATTCGGTAGATAATTACGTCTACTTCCAATTGTATGCTCGAAGGAGGGACATAGTTTGGATTTAAATACGTTTTTAATTGTGGGACTTTTAAATACCGTGAAATGGCCGTTCGTAAATCGTCATGTCTCTGCATTTACCAATGTGGCTGGTAAAGTTAAAAATATGGATCAAATCCACTGCTTAATCTTATGAACCCTATATGGTCCCCCCTTTATGACCGTAGAGAAATGTGTGGTTTTCCGTATGCGGAAAATATACGGCTTGTAGTTTGGAAACCCTGAATGCAAGTGTAATGATGGAGCGGGTTCAAAATTATTCGGGAATTGGAAAAGTTTTGAAAACCGAATTATACCCTTCCTTCGAGTAAAAGATTGGAACAAGACGTAATTGTCTACCAAATGAGCAAAACAATGAATATTTTGTGCATGTTTTTCATGAAATATAATTGAACTTTCAAGGGCATCGAAAATCAATGAGAAAAATGTATGCTAATTAACTATCCACTTTTTTTGCAGTGTAGTTTTTGCATGCAGCCGGAAGGAAGTCCGTTCGAAAGCCGGCATCCTAAGGTAACTGAAATATTATAGAATTATGTTGCAGGCTGACTAGTTTTACAACCCTACTTAATTAATCTTTTCGGAACGAAAACGCATTTCGGAATTTCGGTTGACATTTCATGAGTTAGCCAACCTACTGTATGTGCAATGAGAGTCGCACCTAAGAGGAAGGTGGTAGATTACGATTAACCGATTAACCCAGATCTGATTCAGGCCTTGTGTTGGGCTGCCACCGATACCGACGCGATATTCCCATAGCCACAAAGGTCCGCGTCCACTGAGACTCCTTCCTGGTGTGAATACTGGGCTGTGTGCGCGGAAGACGAGCGAAAACTCTACGTGCTTGACACCTGTGGTCTGAGAACTATACTTTAAGTGAAGTAAACCGAGCTTGTCTCAAATGAGGTCGTCCGTACTCACTACGGAAACATTTCGGGAACATGTCAGACTATCCAAGAAGGACGGCGTTGTACGCCGTCCACTTTATACGCGGCTGAAGGCAGCAAACTCAAAACCTGGCAGAAAACAGCCTGTCAAGATATGCAGGCGGTCTTTGGATCTTCGAAATTCGGTCCCAGTCACAGCTTTCGCAGAGCGGAAACACCATCAAGACCGGTTATATCAGACATGATCATAGCCGCACCAAGTACAAGCAGGCAAACATCATTCAGGGCAGCGTAACACTTCGTACAAAAGAGCGATGAAATAAAAGGTCAGAAGGCCTTGCTTTGCTCCTCAACGGGCAAAGAGGTTGCCGTTGTTCCGAACGTCCAAAACACTAGTTTTATGGACAAAAAATGCGGATCCTACAAAACATTCAGTGGACACACTGCATAACGTTCTTCAACCCGACAACCCCGAGACATGAAAGTGGTCTTTGGATCTTCGAAATTCGGTCTCAACCGCTGGAACTGGGAGGGAGTCGAGCTGTCCATCTCTGTTTTCGCAGATCATCACACATGGACAGGTGCCATTGGCAAGATCATCAAGGTCAGTTAGATCAAGCATGATCACAGCCGCGCCAAGTTCAAGTAGATAATCATCACACAGTGCAGCGTAACATTTCACACAAAGGGTGGTGAAATAGAAGGTCGAAAAGCCCTGCTTTGCTCATGAGCGGCGTTGAATAAATCAGACAAAGAGGCTGCCGTTGTTCCAAACGTCCGAGAGACTGGTTTTATGGATAAAAATGCCGAGTTTACAAAACATTCAGTGGACACACTGCATTACCTCCTTCAACCCCACAACCCCATACTTGTCTCGGATGATATTAGACGACCGCATGTGCAGAACAGTTCCGTAAGGGACACGTGAATTTCGGCTAATAGGGGATCAAAGAAGCATAAGATCATGAATTCTTACAAACCTTTGTGGATTTGCGTGCGCCACTCGGCCTCCTCGTCAGTTGGCGGGGGATAAAGTATGTGAATGAGTCGATCCTCCACCAAAAAGTGATGCATGGTGAGGGTCCGTGGAAGGGCTCCGTACTTGGATAACAGGAAAACCAGGGCGGCTAAATAATGCTCCAAATAGGCCGCTGCGGCAGTTGTGAGGACGTGAAAGAGGTCAGGCCTTGTTAGGCCCTCTTCGCCCGCATCCAAATGCAGTAGAGTATCCACCCTGAGCAGATGAGGGCCGTAGCGAGAGCTATGAGGGCCGCGAATGACCGCATGCGGTCCCGAGCAATCAGCGTCCAGATCGTACTTAAATTGTGCCTCAAATGTTAGCGGATCGGTGACAGTGGCGACGGAGTTCAGTAAGAGCTGTTTTGCCTGGGCTCTGCTGAGATCACATTTCTCCTTGGAGAGGCAGCAGTCTCTGTGAAGGAAGATGAGGGAGTCCATCGAGTCCTGTAGACGCTTGAAGACTCTTTCCAAGCGCCGTCGCTCCCAGGGAAAACTGCGTGAACCATAGTTGATGAGGAGGCGCACACAAATGCTGTCAGACGGCGGTGCTTCCGAATGCGACATCAACTCCATAGCGATCTGAAAACGAAGAAGGCAAAGGCATCGAAATGGCAGGAGCGAAAGTGAAAGACGGAACGGCTGAGACGCCATTCTGTTTTGGGAGACTTTATTACTGAAGTACAAAAAGTTGGAAGTCATTAAACGTTGCCTTTGGTGTCACTCGGCACCACGGTTAAGGAAAGCGCCCAGTTATTTCACAGTCGCAATCAGAAGGAAATAAAAGCTATTTCCTGTACGAAACATGAACAAGCAAATAACAGGGAATGAGGTAACAAAGTCACAATGGAACGGAAAATTTCCAAGTAAAGCATACAAGACTACTTCTGACCGTCCCATTTGTTGACACTTATTACTTGGATGCGACCACTTCGAATGGATGCAAACATCGAGCTATATAATTAAACAACCGCCTCATAGAACTCCGCAACCGATTAATACTGCTGGGGCGGCTTTTATTCCGACTTATACCTCGGCGTAGTATCTTCGCAAGCTGAAGCAATTTTAAGCCCGTTTTCTATTAGATCATATCTAGAATTATGTGAATTGACACCGTCCTTTAAAACACAGGATCTCGACTGCCTTGTCTGTTAGGTTTATTAGCTTGCAAACTCATGCTTACTCCTCACCCATTTTGTCAACTAACAAGGGTCCAAAGGGAGAACAGCGTTGTTACCAGTCGAAAATCCAACCGATGCTGTGGTGATTTAATAGTTCTAATCATTCTACATATCACAAACTTTCTACTTTAAACTGCTAGGTTTCGGATCTACCTGAACATTCATCAGAACCAGTCAGTGATTTGACACGGGCCAAAGAAAACATGATGTCTAGACTACGTGAAGTATCCTCGTCGTACAGAAGATCGGGTCAGACGAAGTCACATGCTTGATGGAAATAAAATATGTAGAAATGCCAGCGTCACTCGCTGACGCTAACAACGACAGAATGGCTGGCACGGCTAACAACCGAGAAAGTGATCTTCACAAATCCGAAAGTACAACCGGTCTTGTTTGGCGTCGGCCCGTTCGCAGTTGGCCACCCGCCTTCTTCCCCAGGAAAGTTTGAAAAAGACCGGCTAAAGAAGTCGCTACCTAGAGAATTATAAGACAATTCAAGTGTGTGATGATCGGTAAATGCAACAAAGGCAATAGTTAGTTAGTGCTACGATTAGGCCCCCTGAGTACCGTGTTACTTTTAAATGTGCATGCGTAGTCGCTGCTACTCAAAGCTAGTCTTTAGTCCCAGAGAGTTCAGGTTCTCCATTTGTGCACAACCCCTACGGAAAATTCGACGAGTCATCCATTTTAAACCTGAGTTGGCAGAGTGGCGTTCACGGAGGCCATGTGTATAATTCGAGTCGACTAGAATGACACAGTGGTTCTTTACAACGTTTTCGTGTTTATGCAGAGTTACTGACTACTAAAGTACAAGGATCTTGTACGGTTTAAGTACCTCGTATTCTATTGGGGCGGTATGGATTCTCAACACACGAGCAGAGATCATAAAGTAGTTTGTTGCCATTTTCAAAAAGAGACATTAAGATCCGCAATCTTTATAGCAGAGTAATATACGGACTCAAGTATTTCTGTTGGCTGGAAGAGGGTCGTTTAGTTACATCCGTCAGTTAACAGTAAATCGGAACACATACTACTATACAATAAGTGTTTTCGGAAACGAACAGGCGGCGCTGTAATGTCAGGCTACACCCCCCACTCGTTTAGGCCTTAAACATAGTTTCGACTATTAGAAGATTAGCTGCGCCTGGATTTAAAAGCTTATTCGCCCCCGGTAGCCGTTTTAAAAATTCCGCCGCTTGCTCCAAAAACAAGGACGTAGAAATTTGAGCCATGAAAGGTGATCAGACAATGTCAACTGACTAACCTAATTAACAACCCTAGTAGCAATAGATATCGAGTAGATATACGTGAATGGCGATTTATCGAGATATGTATGTCTGTCACGTAATTGGCCACCTTTAGTCGTTTATCGATTGCACGCACACGCGGGCGCGCCATTATTTCGCGTGAGCGGCGTGGAACGCGTGAGTTGACAGTCCTTGCACTTACTTGCCATTATTCCTTTATATCTCTTGTTTGCTATTGTTCCATGTTAACCATGCTTAGGCAGGAATCCCGGAGAACACGATTACGTCGTATTAAGAGGTATGGAAACGAGGCTTTCCAGTAAGTGATGGAAAATAATGCCGTTATATCTTTCAGGAGCCACAGGAGAACGCCGATGACTTTCGAAACCATCCCTTTGGGCGGCCAGACAGACGACGGTAATGTCACTTCTCCTTGAACTTATTCTCCAAAAGTGTCATCAGTTAGCGATCAGATGCGTATATTGCTTCCGATATGTAAGCAAATGGCAACACTGCCGTCCACAATCCATGTCACTGAGAGCCACTGGAAGGTTGTTTCCAACTACTGGACAATAGCTTCCGAAACCAATTGGTATGCTACCCAATTTATAACTCCCTCTGGCGTTAGACTTCCTACCCCACGTGCCTCGGTGGGTACAATGTAGACGACTTCGTGAAGGGAAGTCTTCACCTTCAGTCTGCTTTTACCAAGTGCCTGGAAAGGTCGATGGACAGCTACGTCCTAAGAACACAAAAGACGCAAGTTTAATTGAGTGCCGTTTATTAAAACTAATTCTGAATTGTAGACAACATCCCAGGAGCTTCTACTGATTGCCGGCCTCTGTCAACACAGTGATCACGGAAGGGATTCAGCAAATGCTTAAGCATTGTACATATCTAACTATTTTACTTTTCAATATAATTATTCCACAATAACTATCTCCAAAGTACCTCTGGGTAACAGGGGGGATTAAACACACGATAAGGAATGAATGGGGGGTAGAAAAGGGCATTGGGTTAAGCAAACGATTCCACGCGTAGCATATTACCCCCCTTTTCGCCGACGGCGTAGTATCTCGATTAATCGATATCTAATAGATATCTATTTTTTGCGACAAAATAGATATCTAATCGATATACATATATATATATCTCGATAAAAAGATATCTAATATATATCTACTCGATATAGTTTGCTACTAGGGAATTCTTAGTCAAAACTCGGAAACTAACATAAACTCTCAACAGGACCAAGAACCTTCATTTAAACGATAGAAGCCAAAAGTAACTAGGTTTTCGTGAACTTCCAGTGTGGACGACAACTGGTTTCTGCGTAGAGTCTGCGCTGGAAACATTTGGCAGAACATGTGGTTGTTGGGGTACGAATGACTTTTAAGGGGGATCAGTAAGGGCAGTTCTCACAGATGTGAGTACATATGCGCACATAGTGAACAAGCAAATTGCAGAAGACCTTATACTACAAAGGTCTCTGGCACAGTTAAAGGAAGATTGAGGTCTCAAGTGGTTTGCGCTATTTGCACTTAAGAAATAACAGTGAGGGGATTGGGCTGGAAAGTAAAGGTTGCATGATATACAGGCGGAGGGTTACAACTGCATTGAACGATAGCGTCTCGGACTGCAAATACATTCGGCTAAGTTTTTTTAAGGCAGAACTGAGACTAAGACTAGATGATATATTAGGTTCCAGTGGCGGGTACAAAAACGTTCATCACGTAAATTTCCAAATAATTGTAAAAAAGTCCTGAACCACTCAATATGCGCCAAACATCTTCCACCAGACAGGCTTTCGGCCTTACGTGGATGTACCATACGGTTATAACTGGGGCGTGTGGAATGCGGCGGTCTTCAAAGTTTACGTAGGAAAACGTTTTGCCTGGTTGGAAGTTCCTCAAATGCGGAGAGTCAAAATACAGACACGCTGCGAAGTACTTTGGCCGGTCTTCAGAAAGCCAACCTACACTCCCCGCTAATACCGACCCCCACCATTTACGATCCCCAATTGTGACTCGTTTCATCCAGCTGCCGAACCATGTTAGTAGCGTCACAGTCCCCGATCATGCACTAAGACGCACACATCGGTATACCGGCAAAGGATTTGGGAATGTTACGCAAAACTACAAATGATGACATGTCATAAAGATGAACTGACTGACATATGCATGGACGATTACGGAGGAAAACTCAAGAAAAATAAGTCCACAATGGTGAAACCCACCACATGGGCCAGACTGCACAACCAGAAAACCAACTGGCTTATATGAACAGCCGAATACTTTCTTGTACACGATTAGTAAATTTCATCAATTTTTAAGCCTTCGAGGTGCCTTTAAGCGTGATGGAGTACATACTATTGAAGATATTTTAGCTACAAATCCAGTTCAGAGATTCTGGAGCACTAGATTGCAGTTCTGTGAAAATCAGACAGAGATTCAGTCTTGAAGTAAGCTCCAGAGCTCCTAGAAATTATCAGCAAATAAAGGTTTGAATTGTTAGACTTGGATAAAATTGGCTCGGGAAGAGGAGATTCGGGTTCTGGCGATCTTCGCCCTAGCCAGGCTCGGCGACCATGACTAGGGCAAAGGTGCACCTTCTCTACAACTGTATCTTATAAAGGATCCCGGAGATAATCCGGATTGTCAGGCGAAAAAACGTCTTGTTCCGGCGATCAAAGCCGGTTTTTATGAACTCTCGAATAGTGAGATAACGTTCGGCCAGTGTCTGTAGTGCTACAGCATTAAACAAAAACCCTGCGTCAAAATAAAAATTGCGATAGTTGAAACCCAGAAACAGGGGGCAAGCTTAGGGAATGTTTATGTCTTAAGAGGGTGTAACGGAAAGAATTAAACGACAGGAGACAGAGGATCAGAGTTTCTGAGGGAAAACTAACGTACGGAAACATGGAATTTTATATGAGAACGCAAGTTTTGGAAAATATTCTTACCCCCAACAGTTTGCTTGAGTCACTTCATGGGTGTTTTCGGTTTCAGAATCAGATGTGGTTGTCACATGCAATGGCATATGTAGCGGGCAGCCATTATGATCGGTCTGGCGTCATTGTTCAGGACCTTGATGTCTCAAGGTCATTCACCCCTTGCAGCGAGCCGTCCCAAATGAGCTGACCTGAAGCCACTCGACCGAATTCAATTCGGACACAATTGCGTCCACACAGCGTCGCAGTTACCCATGCGCCACTTGAACGCGCCACCCCCTGCAAACAGCAAAAACAAACCACTGGGACACCACTTCTCGGCAAACGTAACACACACCGATTGAAGACCACTTGAGCTTGGCCGAGGAGCCTACAAAAGCGGCTGCCGTCACAAACACAGTGACTCTCAGGAATGACTGAATGCAGTCAACGCCAGCACTGGCTTCGCCAGTGGCCACTGCCGCCTGAGAGGACAACTCCGGATTTTGTATACACTAAACCCCTCACTCTGTTGCCTTCTGTCTTATCCTTACAATATGGGGGTTAGCCTGTTGCTTGTAGCGCTCAAAGCAATAATTCTCGCCACCTAGCCGCTACAATCCTGACATCGAAGGAAATCTTTGTGACTTTTTCAAACAGTTCACAGAGTTGGCTTTCATTTCCAAGGTAACATGGCATTATGTACAAATCTGATGAAGGCTTTCCTATTTTGTGGAAGGATTACCGAAGCACAACATAAATTTTCGGAAAAGGATAAAATGTTCAGGTCATACGGCGAATATGCAAGTGAGGATCTGATTTAAGGAAGGCAATCACGTCCAAGTTATTCAACACGATCCTGACGGTCTAAACTGAGGCTATCTATGGCGAGCGCCTTGTCTGGAATTAGAAAGCGAGCGGAAGATTATGTAGTGCACCAAACATCTGAGTCAAACACCAAGGCCACACTTCTTAGTCGTAGTATCTTTTGCACGACTGATCTTGCGTTGAGAGAGACATGACTGGGTGTATTCCTCAAACTTTGGTTTCGCCCATTATAACTTATAAAAAATGAAGAGTTTGTGGTGGAAAATTAAGCTGTAGGGAGGAAGAGAAGGGTGGGAATCAAGGTTGCTGTTGTCTGAAAGTTGTGGGGATATTACCACTAACTAAAGGTGCAGCAATTTATGGAAATACACTTGGGCAGGACCCATGACGAGGAATGCTATTTCATGGGGGTGGAAAAATAGAAGGCATAAAAATAGGATTTTCATAATTTTGAGCATAATATAAGGGATGATTTAGGTTAGAAAACGGACAAAATTGTTTCGAGAAACTGTTTACCTTAAGAGAATTCCTTATTATTTTGGGTTTCAGGCTAGCAGTGGGACTGGGAGAATTACCAGCAGCATTGTGTACTTGCATTTACAGGCTGCTGCGTTAGTGGGCTTCATAACTGTCATGTCTTCTTTAAGTTGAGAATTCGATACAGAAATATGTAAAGCTCTCCCTGGGCTATTATCTGGCTTATTTTATCTTAGCGCAAGGTCGGACTTGAGTGGCCTGGAAGGGAAGCGGGAAAGATTCGACCCAGGTTTATGAACTAATTCAGTATTCTGAGTCCTGGAGGTCAGCCAGCCAGTGTATTTGAGGAAAATAGGCTTACGCCTTTAAATTCCCTATTTGTACATAAAAATCCTTAACATATGCAACAACATGACGAGATCCCAGCAATAAGTGGATTCAGACATCGATTCACATAGGGCATTGGTTTTTTCCGGTTACAAAGTTACACAGTCCGCTTGCTGGTGTAATAGACTTCTGTCCAAACAACGTTTAAGTGTCCCCACAGACGGGACGTTACAATCCCATAGGGCAGGTTATTCCACGGTTCCACGACACGGTTGGAGAAAAATACTTCCTCATATCCAATCTTTCTCTGGAAACACGTAGTGTGAACGGATGTCTCCGAAGGTTATTTGCCGTGGCAAGTTGAAAAAAAGTCGTCGCACCCGGGGAACGCAGTCCAAGCCACGCAGGATACGGAAAGTTCGTATTAGCTCGCCGCTCAACTGCCTATAATTCAGAAGATAGAGTTTAAGCTTATTCAGGCGGGCCTCATAAGGCATTGTATCAGTTTCGTGGCAGCCTCCGCACCCTTTCGAGTAGATTGCAATCCTGCTTCATCCAGGGTCTCCAGGCCTGGATTGCATATTCCGACGGCGACCGTACAAACGTGCAGAAGACTGTTCAGAAGCAGTCTGCATTGAAAACTGCGAATGCCCGCCAGATGGCGTGCAATATCGAAGTTGCAGCTTTAATTGCCTTACAGCGTTGCGTAGAAGGCTTCAAGGTGTCTGCAGTCCAATCTCCGAGGTCCCCCTGAGTTTCTGCTTCTCTGATAGGCGTCCCGTTTAAATAATATTGCCACGTATTATGTACCCGTTGAGATTTCCTGGACTCAGTATGGTGCATTTACTCAAATTGAAGGACAAGAGCCATCTGCGGAACCGCTCGTCTGGTGGATGAAGGTTCTCCTGAAAATCGGTCCCGTCGACAGCATTCTGATAGACTTTCCAGATTTTAATATCATCTGCGAACATGGCTCAGTCCCAGTCCAACTCCTCTACGCAACCATTAATAAACAAGAGATAGAGGGTCGGTCCGAGCACTGAGACTTGTGAGAATCCATTCTCTATAAATGTGCGCCTTGATTGCTGTTGTTCTACGCAGAACTTTTGAAAACGGCCGACAAGGAAATTCTCGATCCATTTAAGAAGTTTGCCGCCGATACCGATTACGCTCAAATTTTAACGGGGACGCTGATGCGGAACACTGTAGGAGGCCATTCGGAAATCGATGAAGGCTACATGTACAGCGTGTTTTGCATAGAGTGTTCTTGTCGAGCTTTTCTTCACGTACAGCAAGTTCGTTACACGGGATCTTCCCTTACGAAAGCCATATTGTGCATTGGACAAGAGGTTGTGGGTTTCCAAATAAGCCATCAACTCCCTTTTGAGTATTTATTCCATGACTTTGCAGAAAATTGAGGTGAGACTGACCTGTCTGTAGTTCGTCGAAAGAGTACGAGTAGTCCAGGACTCTTATAGTCCTGGACCTGATGGTGTCCCAGTAAGCATTTTAAAAGCCGATGCAAATACGATTTTCCCATCCCTCCTATGCAAGATATTTAAACTCGATCTTGAAAGTGAAACCTATCCTACCTTGTGGAAGGAATCACACATTCTGCCCATTCCTAAGCACGGCAAATCTACGTCATTTGATGACTTTCGACCAATAAACACCCTCCCCGCAGTTTCGGAGATCTTAGAGACATTGATCAAAGATAGGATGGTGTGTCACTTAACAGTGAATAACTTACTGAGTGCTGCTCAGCATGGATTCCTCAAAGCTCGATCTTGTGACAACTGTCAACTCTCTTTCTTTGACTATGTTCTCCAATCTAGGGACAATGGTTTTGCACTTTACACAGTATATTTCGATTTCACTATGGCTTATGATCGCGTTGACCATGCTCTTCTTCTCTTGAAACTGTCCTCTTTCGGAATAGGTGGCAAACTTTTAAATTGTATAACCTCTTACCCGGGCACACGTACACAACGCGTTAAGATTTCCAATACTATCTCCAACCCCACACGTGTGAGGAGTGGAGTCATTCAGGGCAGTGTACTCGGCCCGCTTTTATTTTGCCTTTTCGTTAATGATGCACCCGATTTATTTCAGAATGGTAAGCCTTTCATGTATGCCGGCGATCTGAAAGTTGCATATCGATATAAGCCGGCAGATCGTGACATCGTGCTTGAGCTCCTAAAGAGCGATCTACAGGCTTTCGCCCAGTGGTGCCGCACATGGCGCCTATCTCTTTCTTGGCGTAAGTGCACAGTCATGGTGGTTGGCGACGACCGCCGACCTCAACTGAGTATTGAAGGTCACTCCATAAATGTGCCAGGGGTTATTAAGGATCTGGGCGTGTCATACTCTAAGAGTCTCAATCGCTCGGAGCACTGTGCCTTGATAGTCTCCAAAGCACGCAGAACGACCGGGTTTATCCTTCGAAACTTTAAAACTAGGCACATTAGAATGAGCCTTTACAGCATGTACGTTAGACCTGGCCTGGAGTACTGTTCGTTTTTATTTAGCCTCATGCGTGCTACTGAGCGGAAGAAAATAGAATTCGTTCAACACTTTTACCAAGAGAGTTTTAACCCCGGAACACCGACATTTGTCTTACCAAGAACGTTGCCGGCTTACGGGCCTTGATCCTTTATGGTTCCGTAGATAACAAAAAGGACTATTTTTGCCATTTAAACTCTTATGTAATCACACGTATAACCCACTCACCTCTTATAGACACCATGTTCACGCACGACGTAACAGTCACCGTGAAGTCTTTTCATTTCTTCCTCTGACACGTACTGTTAAATATCTTCGGTTCTTTTCTGTAAATGCAATTGCTATTTCAGTTCAGTTCAGTTCAGTTTATTGAGGGAAATAGGCGTAAGCCTTTGAGTACCCTATTTGCAACGTAAAAAATGTGTGGTGTACAGATAGATGTTCTTGGCTGAAATAGTTCGAACACGCCCATAATGGTGGGACAAAATGAGAAGGAGTTACAGGGAGTGAGCTCGACTTCTCATCGCTCTTGGTCATTTCGGTACATAAATATGTCCAGATTCTTCTTAAATCTTTGTATAGATGGTGACATCACAACATCTGCGGGAAGCTCATTCCACGGTTTGACCACCCGAACCGAGAAGGAGAACTTCCGCACATCCAGCCGTGCCTGCTGAGTGCGCAGTTTTAACGGGTGACCTCGGAGGTTGGTCGTGGTAGCAAATTCAAAAAAGTCCTCGAAGGCCAGACTGCAATCCAACCCCTTAACAATGCGGAAGGCTTGCAAGAGATCCCCGCGAAGTTGCCTGTAACTCAAAGGAAAGAGGTTCAGATTTACTAGGCGGGTCGCATAAGGAAAGGAGCTTTGACCCATGACCATCTTCGTGGCTCTCCTCTGGACTCTTTCGAGGCAGTTTTGATCCACAACACCCCACGGCCTCCAAGCTTGTATGCCGTACTCTAAATGCGGCCGGACGAATGTTCCGAATGTCTTAGAGAAGACTTCTTCGTCAAAGTCCATAAACGCACGCTTGATGGCGTACAGTACGGACATTGCGCTTTTTGCCACCCTCGAACAGTGGGCGGATGGTTTTAGGGAACTCGTCGTAAGCACACCGAGGTCCTTTTGGGCTTCGATCTCTTGTAGGGCTGCACCGCCCAGAAAGTAGCCTCTTGTTCTGGCGGATCTGGCTGTGTTGCCTAGGCGAAGTATGCTACATTTGGCAACGTTGAACCGCAGGAGCCAACGGTTTGACCACTCCTCCAACCGATTCAGGTTCATCTGCAGTCTGTCTTCATCGGCAGGACCACGAATTACATTCCATATCTTCATGTCGTCCGCAAACATTGCTACTTCACAGTCCAAATCTCTTGCGGCATCGTCCACGTAGATAAGGAACAAAATGGGTCCCAGTACTGAACCCTGGGGGACACCACTTTCGACCATAGCCGGATCTGATTTTCCCCGACCGACGCACACAACCTGGTGTCGACCCACAAGGAAGTTTTCGATTCATTTATGGAAGTTGCCACCGATCCCTATTTTTTTCAGCTTATGTAAAAGCCTTTGGTGTGGCACAGTGTCGAAAGCCTTCTGGAAGTCGATGAAGGCTATGTGGACCGCGTGCCTGTCGTCGAGAGCTTGGGTCCAGCTCTGGAGAGATTGCAGCAGGTTTGTCGTGCAGGATCTTCCTTTTCGGAACCCATGTTGGCATTTCGATAGCAGGCCGTGAACTTCCAGGAATTGCATTAGTTCACACTTTATGATCCTTTCCATAACTTTGCAGAGAATGCATGTCAAGCTTATGGGCCGGTAATTTGTCGTCGCTGCCCTGTTACCTCCTTTGTGTAGCGGAGTAATGTGCGCCAGCTTCCAATCGACAGGAAGTGTTCCAGTGTCAAATGACGTTTGAAAGAGCATCGACAAAGGCACAGAGAGCTCACGGGCAAGTTCCTTTAGAAGCTTGGGTGGAATCTCGTCGGGTCCTGGCGACTTCGATTCGTTCAATGCCTCTAATTCTCTTCGAACAATGCCTTCTGAGAAGATTATATCACTGACGCTTGGAGTCGGCAGTTCTTCTGTGGAGGGAGGAAGGAACCTTGCCTCGTTTGTGTAGACTGATTGGAAAAACCGTGAAAAATACGCAGCTTTATCCCTACTATCAGCGATCTCAACGCCATCAGTAGTCTTTATCAAAGGGATTTGATGCCTGTTCCTTGTAGTTCGTCGGAGGTAGCTGTAGAGCAATTTTGGGTTCTGCGTTGCTTTTTGTAGCAAGTTCTTCTCGAATTCCCGCCGCGTCTGAATTATCAGCTTCCTCAGTATGTTCCTCTGTGTCTTGTAGGTGTTGAAGCATTCAGCTTGTCTAGTGACGCAGTATTTTCTCCACAATTTGTGCTTCCTGTTGATTTCTTTTTTGAGGTTGCTATTTAGCCACCCAGGGCGTTTGTTCAGTCTTACACTAGTCAGTGGGCAGTGGTTGTTGATGAGCTGCAGAAGGACATTCTTGAACAGCTCCCAGTCATCGTTGGCACTTCCCGTAAACAAAGAGCCCCAGTCAAGACCGGATAAGTCTGCCCTCATCTGATTGAAATCGCCCCTCCAAACATTACGCCTTTTGTGGCCTGGAGTGTGTGAAATGGAGAATAACGAATAATCCCACATAAGCACTATGTGGTCACTTCGGCCAAGGGGCGGCATGGAGGCGATCTCGTCTATGCTGTCTGGTGTTTTCGTAAAGACCAGATCCAGGCAGTTTGCCCTTTGTCTTTCACGTGTTCTCGTTGGGAACATTACATGTTTTGTGAGGCACGCATTTAATGTCTTGCTCAACAGGCGGTAATCGAATGCCGATTTTGGACCTGACGCTTGGAGGGTATTCCAGTTTGTTCCTGGTGCGTTGAAGTCGCCCATGATCATGATGTTAGGTCGACTGGAAAATTTCTCCAACTGCTCCAATAGTTGAGTGTCGGCGATTCGGTCTGTCCGAGGTGGTCGGTAGACAGTGAGGACATCGAGACAGGGGGAACCGGTTGCCTTGATGGTCAACCAGATAGCTTCCGTACTGCACACAAACTTGGTGGTGTTATCCGACACTGCCAGACCGTCATTCACATACACAACGATGCCACCACCCTGACGATGTTCCCTGTCCCTCCGATAAATTTGGTATCCAGGCAAGGCTACTTCGTTATCGCTAATATTCCCGGACAGCCAGGTCTCAGTTACTGCTAAAACATCTGGAGACTGCTCAACAAGGCAAAGTTTTAGTTCGTCTAGTTTCGATATGAGGCTTTGGGCATTCGTGTACAAGCACCTCAGTTTAGCACCAGCCGAATTTCCCGTTGCATTTGCTACTTCTGTGAGCATTACTCCGTTATCGCGGACGTCGTGTTCTCTAGGCTCTTCCGTTACCTGATTGGTTCCATTTACATGCCTTGTTTCAGTCAGATCACTGGACGCTACGGGCTCACTTGTGTTGGCGCCTTGATCAGGTGGTTCAACGAAGGTGTCTGTTTTAGCTAAGTAGCTGTCGTCGTTCGTAGTATTACAGGCTGGTTCCACTGAAACGGCATATACTTCCGAACTACCTTCCCCTTGAAGATAGCCAGATTGTGTTCGCCATCCTTCAGTCTTGATTTTAACTCCAAGTTCCCGGCGTTTCAACCGTTCCGCTGGTGAATAGTCCGGTTGAAAAAAAACCTGTTTGTGTGTGTTTCTGAGATCGGTTTTTTTAGAGAGGATAAACTTGATTTGCTCTTTGTTCTCCAGCATAATTTTGAGAGGGCGAGGTGGTTGTGCTACTGTCCTGTCTTCACTCCTTTTTCCTATCCGGAATGCTTTCAGAACCTTTATTTCCATGTCTGCCGGCAGTAAATGATTTAGCAGACCATGAAAGGAAGCAAGGTCCTCTGAGACACGGTCTTCAGGTCTGACTGCATTCGATTCTGACAAACCCTGAATAACCAGACAGTGCTGGCGAGCATGGTCCTCCTTACTCTGTCTTTCCGGTGAATGCGCTGCATGTGGGCAAGGACGATTTACGGAGTCATCGCTTGGACGCACACTTTTACTGTCTACCGACTGTCCCGAGCAACCCATCAGGGCTGACTGGGACTTCAGAATCCTGTCATGGCGTTTCCCTCTCCCCTCTACCCACTGGTTTATGTCTTCACATTCAGATACGTGCTCTGTAGTGCGCTCGGGGTGGTTGCCAGAACAAGAGGGCAAGAGTAGACTGGATGACCCAGGTATATCGTCTCCAGGCAGAACAGAAATCCCATCACTTACAGCAAGAGGCTTAGGTGACATGGATTCCGCGATAGGTAATTTTTTTGCGACATCGCTTAAGACATCGTGCGTGGGAATCGAGTCTCCCTTTATCGGCGGCTTCGTTTTCATTCTCCTGCTGTTACCGGCGTCTGCGGTTTTGGCTGTTGAGTTGCTACTCGTGTTTGAAGATACCCCCGAGGAGATATTTTTTCGCGTTTTTTGCGTTCTGCTCTTCGTTTCTGGGATACTAACACTGGACACGTTCTGGCTGAATACGGTCTGTTGCACGAGCGTCCTTAAATCAGCAAGCTCCTTTTCCAGTTGTTCTACTTTGATTTAAATATCTGCCCACCCAGCACAAGGCTCGTCTTCGTACCTCACACTTTTTGCGGTATTTACGCTTTTTGCACGCTTTGCTGGTCGTTGGCTGGAGGCGAAGGTTGAGCGAGCACAGGGTCTGGATGCGAAGGACAACTCACCGGACTTATCTTCCAAAGAGGTGCCGTCGCTGGCCGTACTACTACAGTTAGCCTGCTGAGAATCCATAAACTTCGACGTGATATAATAGGTATAATTCTGCTTTCGATGTTATAACGAATACGTCCGCTTATATATGATGAATTAAAGTGAGTATTCAAAACTCAATAAGCGAAAAAATACTTAAAATCCGATAAATTTTGTTGAATTTAATCAGAAGCGACTTAGCCCTTTCCAGATCTCGTGGGACTTGAATAACTGCAGACCTTGAAGGATTTTGAGCGATTGGTTTTCTAGGCTGTATACCGTGAATCGGTTGCGTAGCCAGTTGCGTTGTCAGTTGGACCGTGCTGATAAACAAATTGCACTTAATCCAGGTTCCAGGCGAATTTCGATGCGTGAAAAAATATTCCAAAAATGCACAAAGTTAGTCTGTACGTACGGTTCCAGTATCAGTGTCAGAGACTGTAACTGTGGGATGGTATCCAAGTCGAAATTGTCCCAGTTGGAGCGCAGAATAATTCCGTCGTGCTCAGTTGGGCTCAGTTGTACAAGGTTGGAACAAACTACCCATGAGTCTTAAAAATCCGCAAAATTATCCTTTTATTTAAGAGAACTATTACTCGATTTTTGCATTCAGAAAAGCTTCCACAAATTTTGGGGGCTGAATGCACTGATCGACTCTACCTTAGCGATGGCGTTTGTGGTCTCTGAACACTATGGCTGGTCTCACCAGGGACAATTTGTTAGGCCAACAGCGACAGCAGTTCCTCAACGCCTCTACTTTGACTATCCTCAACTTCATGAAAGGAACTGACGTCTGATAATCTCCGATACCGTGCAACCCCCCCACCATTCTTGACGGTCGAATGTATGCCGCCAGCATATTTTTTTCTCTTGAACCTTCCAAACCATAAAACCTCCATCAACTATATTCTTATTCCTTTACCTCAGGAGTTTTTTATCACTGCTGGTCGGATTTGTGTTTAACGCTTCCCTTGACAATGCCTGTAAACTGGCATTAAATAAAATCATCATCATCATCATCCTCATCATCATCATCATCATCATCATCATCATCATCATCATCATCATCATCATCATCATCATCATCATCATCATCATCATCATCATCATCATCATCATCATCATCATCATCATCATCATCATCATCATCATCATCATCATCATCACCACCACCATCATCATCATCATCATCATCATCATCACCACCACCACCACCACCACCACCATCATCATCATCATCATCATCATCATCACCACCACTTTTGTTCAGAGGTGTTATGTGGGCCATCTTCCGGTCTGTGGGAACGACTCCAGCATCAAACGATGCCTGGCAAAAAAAGCAGAGTGGTTTGGCCAACTTGGGGGAAAGTTCAGAGAGCAGTTTTGTGGGGATTTCGTCTGGGGCGGGAGATTTACATTCCTTCATGCTTTTTAATTCTGCGAAAAATGCTTCTTCGCAAAATACAATATTTTCAATAATCGGGTCTGTCTGTCAGTCAGTCAGTCAGTCAGTGTTTTTGAGGGAAATAGGCTTACGCCTTTGAACTCCCTATTTGAACATAAAAAATAGATAAATAGGCAAAAATGTGAAGAAATTACAGAATAAAGTGAATGCAGACATTGTTTCACATATGTCACTGGGCCCATGGCTAAAAAGTCACATAGTCCGCTTGTTGCTGCAGCATATATCTGTCAAGGCGACATTTAAATGTCTCCACAGATTGAGACATAACAACCGTCTCGGGCAGGTTATTCCACGGTTCCACGACACGGTTGGAGAAGAAATATTTTCTCACATTCAGTCTACCCTGTGGCACACGTAGCTTGAAGGGATGTCCCCGGAGGTTAGTTGTAGTGGCGAGTTGGAAAAAGTCATCGCACCGAAGGGCACAACCTAAGCCGCGCACGATACGGAAAGTTTGTATCATGTCTCCGCGCAACTGCCTATAACTCAGAGGATAGAGATTAAGGTTAGTTAAGCGGATCTCGTATGGCAGTGCACTTTGACCTCTTACTAATTTTGTGGCTCGCCTCTGCACCCTTTCGAGCAGATCGTAATCCTGGTGCGTCCACGGTCTCCAGGCCTGAATTGCATATTCGAGATGGGGCCTTATAAACGTGCCGAAGACTTTGATGAAGCAGTCTTCATCGAAAACTGCGAATGCCCGCTTGATGGCATATAGCATTGACGTTGCGGCCTTGGTCGCCTTACAATATTGCGTAGAAGGCTTTAGGCTGACTGCAACCCAGACTCCGAGATCTTTCTGCGTTTCTGCATCTCGAAGTAGTATTCCGTTCAGATGGTATTGCCGCGTACTAGGGGTCCGATTTCCGAGGCGCAGAATGGTACATATGTTCGAATTAAAGGACAAGAGCCATCTGCGGGACCACACGTCCAATCGACAAAGATTTTCTTGGAAGTTGGTCTCATCGGTAGCATTCTGGATAACTTTCCAGATTTTTATGTCATCCGCAAACATGGCACTATCACAGTCCAACCCATCTACACAATCATTGATGAACAAGAGAAAGCGGGTTGGTCCGAACACCAAGCCTTGTGGGACTCCACTCTCTATGAATGTCCGCTTTGATTGCTGTCTATCTACGCAGACAATTTGGGAGCGGCCGACGAGGAAATTCTGGATCCATTTGAGAAGTTTGCCACCGATGCCCATTATGCTCAACTTGTGCAGGAGACGCTGGTGCGCAGCACTGTCTAACGCCTTCCGGAAATCAATATAGGCCACGTGCACAGTGTGTTTTGTGTCCAGTGTTCTTGTCCAACTTTGCAGTGTATATAGCAAGTTCGTTACACATGATCTTCCCCTAAGGAAACCATGTTGCGCATTAGAAAAGAGGTTGTGATTTTCCAGATAAGGCATCAACTCCTTTTTTATGGTTTTTCCATCACTTTGCAGCAGATTGTTGTCAAAATGACGGGTCTGTAGTTCGTTGCAAGAACAGGACTACTGCTTTTGTAAAGGGGTGTAATGTGGACCGTATTCCAGTCTGTGGAAAGGATTCCGGCATCGAACGATTCCTGGCACAGAAAGGATAGTGGTTTGGCCAGCTCTCAGGCAAGCTCAAAAAGCAGCTTTGCTGGGATCTCGTCCGGACCGGGAGATCTACAGTCCTTCAAACTTTTTAGTTCTTCCAAAATCGTTGCTACTCGAAACACGATATCTTCGATAGTGGGATCTCCCATTTTCTCGGAACTAGTGGAAATAAAGTCTGTTTCTCTTGTGAAAACGGATTGGAAAATATGAGAAAAATGCTCAGCTTTATTTCTATTGTCCGATATCTTCAAACCGTCATCATTCCTTATGACAGGAGTAGGATTCCTGTTAGGGGCGTTTTTTGCGCAAATAGCTGTAGACCAATTTGGGATTTTTAAGGACTCCGTAGAGAAAACCACTCTGGAAGACGAGGATTAGCGCATCTCTACTGAAATCCATGAAATTCCATGAAATACGCTATATACTGCCACATACAGGCCGGTCCTGTGTGCTTTTTATACATTCGGGATCGAAAGTTTTCTCGTCTGTGGTGTTAGTCCAGTCATACGCATGTTGCATATATGGTAGGAGTTTATTCACTGCTCATTCATCGTTCTGCGTAACATACCACTTATTCAATAACTGTGAATTAAGTATTGTATAGATTCTAAATACTTGTTTTAAAATTAATGTTAAAGTTATTCTTACTTTCCATTAACGGACCCCCATGGGTCTCGAATAACAATTATTGTTATTATTATCGTTATTATTACTTCTGTAAAGATCAAGTGTCCTGGTAAATTTGGGAGCAAAATTTGAGCAATCATCGCTTCTTGGAGGCGTATTCATGGGGCAGGTTTCAACTGAATCAGTGATAATGTGCTCAGTTGAAGATCTGGATGAAACTAGCGTAGCTGCAGATAGGAAGAAAATTTGGTTGACGCCCAATGGAGTATATGATTCAGAGGCAAACGATAGATGAATAGGACTCTGAAGTGGCCTTACGTTTGTTAAAAAGGGGGAAACTCCTCGTCGCAGTGGGGTTCTATCCCGACTAATGAAAAGCTTATTTTTTTAGCCTAAGATATTCAGCTGAGCGCTCCAAATGGGAGAAAATAAAGTGTATTTCTATCGACGAAAAAAGTTTGGCAAGAATTGGTGGATTTTGTTCCTAGAGGAAAGTTTTTAACTCAAGCGACCTTAAAGTTAAGGCCACACGAGTAAAGGAACATGAAAGCAACATCGATAGGCTGTCTACTTTTAGGAACACTTTCTAAAATAAAGTTAAATCTTCGTTTGTGCCCGTCTTCGGTCTCACTTGGAACGAGGTGAATGAGAGGCAGAGATTCTCATATTGCGGAGACGTAAGTGTGGGGAACTTTCCTTTAAGATGGGCACCAAGAATGGAATAAAAATGATCCTTAACGATACAGAAAATTGTTAAAATTTTCGAGCTCTCCTAGGTCTATTTTTTTCAAAGTGACGACGGGTTTCAAATGAGAAAATCGGAATTTAGTTTTCTCAGATTTTGACGAAGGGTTGCCTGAGGTTTAATGTCGAAAAGAACAGAACAAGACTTTAATTCAAATTTTTAATGAGAATAGCTGCCGAAAATTTGAGGATATAAGGGTGAGGATATGTATGATGAAACAATTTCTGAAAGATATCAGTTTTGGTAGACCAGATAGCACAATTATCACAACGCAAATTTACTTAATAAAAAAATGTAATGAGAATAAACAAACAAATCCCACACAGACAGACTCAATTGCCTTAATTTATTCCCTCTGTGTTACAGGCAGCAAAGAGGTGATCTTATCCTCGTCTACAAGATAATACATGGCCTTGAGCATTGACTTAAATATGAGGACATGTTTCAGTGGCACGTTTCACCCAATCTTCGTGGTCACTCGATGAAGTTACGGACAACAATGTCCAGGCTGAATCTTCGTTCTGAATTTTCCACGCAGAGGGTAGTGGAGGAATGGAACAATCTCCCTCAGTCAGTTATGGAGGCTACGTCTCTGCAACTCTTCAAGAAACGCTTGGATGATTATTTGTATTCACTGTTTTCCCTCGACAGTCTGAATCTAAACTAAGACCCCACGTCCATATAAACATTTTCTCTGAGACAATGCTACTCAAATGAATCAAGTACTGTTTTAATAATGAATATTTTTTGTTCGTGCACAATTATTTCTAACAAGCTGACATGTAATCAATAGGGTTTTCAAAGGCTTTGCCTATTATCCTTAC